TTCTCTCTCCATCACATCATCTAATTTCTAAATTATCATACTTAATACTACTCACCTAAAAATTCGTGCCAAAAGTAAATATTGCACCTTATTTGGGATGGAGAAAGTATATTTCCTTGTTAATATATATATATATATATATCTATGTGTGTATAGGAGTTAGGGTTGGCAATTTTATGATTGAGATTTAACCATGTCTTTTGTCCTATACCTACACAACAAAGGCCTTTTAATGAAAGCATCAACATCATTAACACATCTACATTGTGTATTGATACGTAACATAGACACATACTTGTGAATGCGTATAATATTAGACATGAATGAATTTGTAAATATGTATCCATAGCTCGTGCTTATGCTTCTATTATGATTTAGTTTGTAAATATATATAAAGGAAGGCGCATAAATGACAGCACATAATGATACAATATATAATATAATATATTATTGATTTCAATACACTAACGGGATATATTCAATATAGATTTTGTATGATTTTATTGAACTTTCAAAATCTGGTATATTCAATCAAGACTTTTAAAATTTTGAGGTATTCAATATAAATTTTTAAAATCTTGACATATTCAACAATCTATAGATTTTAATGAAAAATTGTGAAAATTTTATATAAGAAAGAATCTCTCCTCATCATGACAGATTTTGATGGATTCTTAAAATTATTATTATTATTATTATTATTGTTGTTGTTGTATATGTGATCAATAATATGATAATATTTATTATTTTTATTATTATAATTTTTAATAAAAATGATAATTTAAAACTAAAATATATTAGCAAATTATTATGAATTTTTTTTAAATATATATTTTTATATTATAAATACAATTTTAAAAAATATTATTATCACAATAAATATATATTACTGTGGTCTTTTCTTTTCAATTATCGAATACGCTATATTATCATTACGATAACAATGAAATAGATATTTAAATATATATTTTTTGTTGAACGGTTAATTTTTATTTATTTATTATTTTTTAATATTTTTTTAAAAAATTGTAAATTATATTTTTTATTTTATTTATATATGTATTTACTCTTTATGTAAAAAAGTTATATATAAATAATAATAATAACTAATAAAGAAATATAAAACTAATTTTCTAGATTGAATGATAATATAATACTAAAAGTATAAAATTAAAATTAATAATCTAGAATATAGTAGTATTACAAATGCTACAATATTTCTATATTATTAATACTTATATACTTATTTATTAATATTAAATATTATTTTATTAATATATTTATAGAATTTGTTGTTTGATATAAATTTATATAATTAATATATATTCATAAAAAAATTATTTTACAATCCTACAAAATCCATATAAATCTATAAAGAATTCAATCGAATTCAATCAAATCTGTAGAAATACATATAAATCAATTACTAAAATCCATCAAACTCAATGTAGACTCCGTGGATTTTCTAAATCCACATAAATTCATAAACTTTTTAAAATCCAAAAAAAATCCATAAAAATCCCAATTGAATACATCCCCTAAATATATTTGTACAATCTTATATTGTTGCCTACAGTTAAAATGCAACATGTCTTGCGGTTAGAGTATTGTCTCACTACAGTTGAAGTGTTAATTAACTTAAATTAGGTGTTGAATTGAATAAATCAACACCTTAAGCGCCGTCCTATAGTTAGTATTGTATGCAGTGACGGAATGAACAATAGAAGTTCGGGGGGGACAAAATCAATTTTTTTTTTCTTTTTATCGATTCAATGTGGTTTTTTTTTATTCTTCGTACATCTTGACAAGAAATGAAAAATTGGAAAATTTAAATATTTTAGAAAAAAATTTCAACAAAATTACGTAAGATATAATCTGTTTTTACTATAAAAAAATAAAATTTAAAGATTAAAAGTATAATTTATAATTTTTTATATTACAAAATAAAAAAATTAAAAAGAACAAATTACTTTAAAATACATAATTTTATTATTTTTTATATAAAAAAAATACATATATTTTGGGGACTGAGGTCAGTTGACCCCTGGCCCGTGTACTTCCGCCCCAGACTGTACGTGAGTGTGTAAAGAAAATTACATAAAAAGAAGTTTGTGGATGTGGTGATGAGTCTTATTCATATATATATATATATACATATATGAAAGCATATATAAAGACAATTTTGACAAATTAAATGCATTACACAAATTACATATATATTATGTGTACATTATAAATACATATGTATTATTCTTAGTGGTGCGAGGATAAGATATACCGTAGATTTTACATTATACTATATGATGTATTGAAAGTATTAGTATAAAAAAATAAAAATAAAAAATTATATTTTGGTATTAAACTGAATTATGCATAATATCAATTTTCGATATATTGAAAGTTATAATATAAATACTTTTTGTATTGATACCAACTTGATTTTTTGACATACCATACTAATTTCTTGGTATACTAGAATGTCAAATTGGTACACCGTACTAAAAATGAATGCATCGAAATTAATGGTATACTAAACATACTAAAATATCAAAAATAACTAAAAATATAGAAAATAACCAAATTTAAAAATAACAAAATGAATACTCTCTCCGTCTATTTTTTAATGTCCTATTTGATATTTTCACGTATTTTTAGGCAATTAGGGTTTTTGTTATAAAATAACGAATTTGCCCTTAATCTTATATGTATAGAAAATGAAATAGTAAATAAAGTAAAGGTAAAAGAGTAAATTTTGTGTATGAAAATAGAAAGAACACAATAATTGTTGAACATTCCAAATAGGAAAGTATGATGTTAGTTTGTAGACGGAGGGAATATATAAATTCTTTTATTTATTTTTATTTTATTATTTAATTTTATTCGATATACTCGTATATAGCGTAATACTGATATGTACAAAATTCTAATATATATCAATATCATAGTATAATCCGAATTTTGGTGCAATTGTGATAGACTATGATATACAAAATTATATATTATTATCGTATCGAAGATCTATGACATAGTAAGACACCATATCAAAATGTATTGTATGAGAAATATGATATGTTTTGTATTGTATGGCTGATATATTATACTCTCACCGTCCCAAAAAAGAGGTATATGATTGGGAGTAAAAATAAAATTTAAGGAATAATAATATTAAATTGAAAGTGAATATAAACTATCATATAAATAATTGTCCATACTTTATGAAGTATTAAAAAAAAATAGATTAAAATAATAATTATGGGTAATTTTGAAAAATATGAATAATTTTATTATATAGTGAAGATCATGGTTACTAAATAATGAAACATGAAAATTATTTTGGAATGGACAAAAATAGTAAAATAAGACAATTTTTTTTTAGACGAATGAAAGTATTTCTTTACATATTTTTTCAACCCTAATTATACTTCGTAAAAAGGAAAGTATGAAGGTGTATTTGGTTGTCTTTTCGCAACATTTATGTGTGTATGTTCTAATATATATTGTAATTAGTTAATAAGAGTATGTTATTATTGTTTTATTATTTTTTATATTATTAATAATATTTGTACTTTTAAAATAAATTTAATATATATGAGTAAAAATATTAGAATATATATTTAAATATTTTAAAAGTTATATCACAATAAAAAAATATGTGCAATATAAATACAAGTAAATAAAAAAATTACGTATATTCATTTATCATTAATATAAACTAGTTTTATTTTAAAAAAAAATTAGAGTTTTAATTACAGATAAAAATATTTACAATATTTACAATACAATATATTGATTTAGTAAGTATTGTCCAAAATAGAAATGTATCAATTCGAAAAATAATTATACATTTTAATCATATTTTAAATTTTATAATTTATAATTTTATAATCTTAATTAAATTATTTAATTATTCTAGTCATAGTATATAATTACTTGTTTTATATTATAATTATTTTTTATCAATATATTTTCCAATTACTTATTAATTATAATCATTTTAAATTTTTGTTTTTATAATAATTTGAATACTCTATGGAAGACGAAGTATATGTGTCTAGTTCTATATAATATATATATAGTTGTAAAATAAATAAATAAATAAATAAAAGCAAGATAGGAGTATACGAAAAGGGCTAATATGTAATTTCACGTCAAACATGATTAGTGGTGGACTTGCGACTCCAAGCTAGTATACGAAAAGGGCTAATATGTAATTTCAAGTCAAACATGATTAGTGGTGGACTTGCGACTCCTAGGCCCTAGCTCCTCTTTCACTATCATTCAATTAATATAAATGAAACCTACTTTAATATATTATTATTATTATTATGATGTTGTAATTGGCCACGTTTCCTTAGCCGAGCAAAAACACAAATAGTGACTACATACGACGTCATCATCTATATTCATGCATCTATCCACCACCACCGGCACACAATACTAAATACTAACCCTCAAATTTTATTTTTATTGTAGAAAGCAGCGGCAGACTTAGGATTTAAAATTTTGTGGGTGGACAAATTAATATAATTAAAATAAATAAATATATCAACAAAAATTTGCAATAATAAAATATAAAATTTTAAACTAACAATCATTAATACATACTACAAAAAAAAAATTGCAAATTCCGATTGAATTCTGCAAGGGTTTACATTCCGTCGCAGCATTGCAATTGAAATTACAATGATAAATATAATCCGTTGTAATTAACAATTTTTGCATGAAATATTAAGACAGAAACAAGAAATTGTAATTCAACAACGGAATTTACAAAGAAATTGATTATGTTGCAAAATAACTACTAATTAGACAACCAAATATTTAAACTATTGCAATTTTAGCAACGGAATTTGCAAAAACAAATTATTCCATCACAAAATATATAATTATACTAAATTGTATACGACGAATAATCAGATCCGTTGCAGTTTTTCAAGGAATTGTACAATGGATATTTATTCCATCATAACCAACAAATATTTATCATCCCAATAGCTTCCTCAAATCACATCATCGGCAACCCACTTCCCCACCGACGCAAACACACCCATCCCGCAGCCACTCTCCCTCACCCGTTTACATCGATTTTGATTGTTTCTCAAGTTTTTATCACCACATTTAGGGACTTTGAAAGCTTAATTTTTCTCGGTAGAAGTTTCAGCAGCAGTTGCGGCTCTCCAGCGGCGTAGGTGAGCAATTTCATTTTCCTCTTCTGTGTTTTTGTCGGAGGGTTTGTAAGGTCAATCCTTAACCTTATGTTAGGTTAAAGTTTATTGTTGGGAGATTTTTTTGTAGTTTTCAAAGAGCATAGAGTAAAAAAAAAAAAAAATTGTTGTTCTCAGTTTGGGGATTTTGTGTTTGATTTTCACTCGAGGCCAGATTTGCTCTGTTATTGAGGCAGCTCGGTATTTTGAAGGTTCCTATAGTTGGGTGACCTTACATCTGATGAATATGGTTGTCAGTTCCTTGTAACCTTTATTTGTTTGTTTATTTTATCTTAAGGATAAGACTATCGCACCTTCAAGCTAATGCTTACATGTTTTATAGTTCTAGTCAACAACAATTTTTTATATGCTATTGTCCCTCTTGCAAATTTCTTTGTTCTATTTCTTAATTAATCATGAAGATTTGAAGCATCAGAACTATGCTATATAACTTTGTACAAGTGAAACATTGAGCATTTCTTTGATGAAGATATGATAACATGTCTTAGCTTAATATTGTAATTGTTATGGCGGAAAAATTGAAAGACATCTGCAGGTTCTGATCCCTTTCAAAACTCATTAAATTAAGCATATGCTTATTTTATCTTATTTTCCATTTGGACCTAAGATTGGCATACGAGGCTACTCAGCTCCGTGGCAGAAACTATTGTGTGTACTAAATTTTCTTCGGAAAAGATATATTTTAAGAAACTTCTAATTAAAGATGCAGAACTGACTGAGATATGTATCATAAGGAAGAAGTATTAGAGATTAAAATCCTTCAGTTTTTTCATTGAAATTCTAGAACGGAACTTTTATCTAATGTACTGGAACAAAATTTTGCATTCTAATTCATACATTGTGTGTGTATGGCATGCACATGGTGTCCAAATCTTGCCATGGTGGAGATTTTAGATGATGAAAAGGTAAATAAATGGAGCTTAATGCTTTCGTTCCATGTATTGGCCATTTTCAATTTAATTAGTTCTATAACCAATTTTGATTATGGAAGTGTAGCGGCCAACAAACAATTGTATCTAATAGTGTATATTTATGCACTCTGATGACACTTTACCTCTCAGAGTTTATATTTATGTAAACAATTTTATTAGTTCTATATATGTTTTTTCCTCTTTATCTGATGTTAAGGTAACATTTTCTCATCAATGTATATGATATTACTCGAGTTCCCATTTGTACCTGCCTTCACTTCGATTATATTTCATTTGTCTTTACTCTGTAATACTGATTGCTTTCTTTTTGTTGTATTTGCATCCAATTTATGTTCCAAAACAAAATGCAGAGCACAAACTCTTTGTTGGAATGCTTACCAAAAAACGTTTCTGATGATGAGATATTTGCTATATTTTTGGAGTCTGAAACCATAACAGATTTTTGAATTCTTAGAGTTTCCCCGCAAACAAGCAAATGTGAGTGGTTTAAATTCTCATATAACAGATTTTCGCATGATTGTTGAGTGATGCGATTTTATATATTCTTATAACTTCTGATCTAACAAATTAGTTTTTGTAGGTTGTGCTTTTTTGAAATTTGAGACAAAAGATCAAGCACTGGCAGCTATAGAAGTCCTCAACGGAAAGCATAGCATGGATGTGCGTAAACAATAATCTTTTTCGAATTGGTGTGTTGTGTATATACTCTTGTAGTGTTAATTTTCACCACATGAATCTCCATTTATCAAACTTAGTAGTACTGTTTTAGTTAAAATTTTGGATTTAAGATCCAGAAAGACTGATTTTAACTCATCAATGCTATCATAAGTAGTCGATTTTCTATTATTCATAAGGCATAAATTTGAGCCTTGATGTTAAAAAAACCCATTAAATGGACATTTGCTTATGGTGAAATTTGTTATTAAGAGTTGGAATTTGGTTCTGAATGTTACTCAATTCCTGTTTGTGTGTCTCTATGTGAGAAATTTATTAGTCTAAACCAGTGGACTATTTTATAGATGCATTCTTTCTCCATCTCCTTCTCTAGACCCCATATTTTTGTTTATATGATGAATCCTTTTTGCTGTTGGTTTGCTTATTTGATTTCACCATCCCACTGAATAAATGCATTGTGTTAAATTGGAAATGTCAAACATTAATGTTGATAGCTTCTGCAATAGGGTTCGACTATACCTTTGGTGGTCAAGTGGGCAGATACAGAGAAGGAAAGACAGGCTCAGAGGGCACAAAAGGCATGGTCGTTGGCCTCTAATGTGCCAAATATTGATTCCATGCAGCAGGCATCGTTATTTGGTGCCTTGCCAATGGGTTATATGCCTTCAATTGAAGTGATTATTCCGAACAGATAGCTAGCAACATAAATTCTTTGGCTGCTGCGATCAAATAAGAGAATTGAGTTCCATGATGTCTGTGATTATTATTGGATTATTATGCATGAGATCAATAGGTACTTCAAGTACCAACTTTATTGGGTGTTTAATTTAAAGAGATACCTAATGAAACAATATCAAAATGTAGTTCTTGTGTACCAAATTTAATGCTTTTGTGCGAAAGGCATGTATCACCTAGTTTTTATATATATTATATATATTTTCTTTTTTCATTAATGCAATTACTTTTTTATGTTTAAATTTAGTTGTTCTTGGGGGTATGGTATCAATTTCGCATGAAAATATTGGATGGAGATAGATGTAATTATTTGTGAATTATAATTTTAACATGTGATCTTCTTTGGGATCGCCATCATTGCTAAATACATCTTGTTCATATTATAATGTATATTGTTTGTTAGACTCTGTTTAAATTTGAAATTTGTATATAGTTTCATTTAGTTTTTGCATGGTTGATGAGAGTTATTAATTGAGTTTTTAAATTGGTTAATTGTGGAGGATTGAATTAGTATTAGCTATATAAAGTTTTGGAAAAGCAGAGATAAAAACAAGCTAAAAGATTAAATAGGGGTAGACATTTTGCAACGGAATTAGCAACATAATTAATGTATTGCAATGTTCTTTAATATTGCGATGGGATTAGCAGCAAAACTAATTCATTGCAATATTATGTAATGTAGATTATTCACTTGCAATACTGTTGCAGTTTTTTGTAACAGAGCCTCAATATGGTCGTTTCGGATTTAAAACCAATTATTTGCGACGGTTCTCATTTGGATGTAAAATCCAACACAATGTAAATTTGCAACGGAAAAATGTCTAGTTGCGACGGAATAATTCCATCGTAACCTGTAATTTTTTTTGTAGTGACATCAAAATAACTACAAATGTTCACGACAAGATCTTATATTTTAATATTGATTGATAATAGCATATATACTAACTTTCGTAAACACATCTATTTTTAGAAAATAACGGACCAATCATTCAATAATTAATCTTTCATATTATTCCGTAATTTGTTCTTGATGATAATTATTGTTGAAAATGATCTTTTCACTGTTGCAATTTCTACATGAAGAAGGTATTTTATTTTTCTTTGTTTGAAATAATTTCATAGAAAGTTCATTTAGATTCAAATTCTAAAATATCTCATTATATTGAACATCAATAATGAAATTATCCAATAATAATTTGAAAATCATCAATTTTGCTTCTGAAAATTCAGTATGATATAATTCGGCAAGTAGCTACAATCTCTCTATTAAAAAAAAAATTATTTAAAAAAAATGCAAGACATCAATAATTCTTTTGATGGGTCTTGTCAAGTAATCACTTATTCATTAAATAAATATAGCACTAATATTTAGGAGTGTATTTGTAATTTTAGTAATAATTAGTACTACCTTCATCCAGCCATGAGGTAAACATAAGTTTTTGCGTCATTGTATTTAACATTAAAAATATCCTTATATTTGTATAATTGACTCAAAAAATATGATTATATTTGTATTATAAGAGACTAATTGATGTATTTTTGTCATTTTCTCTTTATTTGTATTATATTTTGATATAATAATTAATATTAAAATATCAACATAAAAAAACCACTATATATTTTGTGACTGGACGGAAGTAGTATTATTTTTTTATTTCTTTTTTGGTAGGTCAATTAACTCATCTTGCTTAATGCTGCATCTGCCCCTGATAGAAAGTATTATAGTTAATTAATAGATTTTACACACACACATTTATACAATTATTTCTTTTTTACTTTTTATTTTTGTTCGTGTCAAAGAAAGTAGTCGACTTGAACAACTAAAAATCTTTTTGGCTAAACCATTGATTCTGCCGGTGAAATCGCCCATCGTAGCCATTGTTTTCGTATTTTCTCGGGCTCGATTTCCACTCTGGAGAAGTAATATATTATGATCGATTTTCACTCATTCTTCGTCGACTGAAATGGCCGAAATCAAGGGAATGCTAAGAAGTCGACGAAGCCCAAGGCCACAAGAACCACCTCCATATAATTTCTTACAATAATATTGTCTTCGTCCCTTAACAAATTATCCATTTTTTTTTTATTTTGGTCCGTTCAATAACAACGTATCACTTTTCATTTTTAGTGATTATACTATCTATCTAACATTACAAATACCTTTTTAATTTACAATATATTATAGAAATGTCATTACCTTTATATCATATACTCTCTCCGTCCCATAACTAAATATTCATTTGCTTTTTGCACGTAATTTTAAAAATATTAGTATTATATTGGGATGTAGTAGAAATAAAGTAGAAATGACTAAAATATCCTTATTAGTATGTGTGATATAAATGTAATGGTATTAATATATTGTAAATTATAAGGGTATTTGTAATGTTAGGTAGATATTACAACTACTAAAAAAAGAAAATGAATACTTTGTTATGAGACGGAGGAAGTAATACTAATAAGATTAGTTTAGTCTTTTTACCTTTATTTATACTACATCCCAATATAATATTAATATTTCTAAAACTCCGTACAAAAAGCAAATAAATATATATAAATGGAACGAATGGAGTATATTTTATATTGTTACACAATTTTTCATATTACACACAAAAAAATCAATATATTCAAAAACGTTGGGTGAATAAAGCCAATATATATTCTATTTTTTTACAAACAACAATATTTTATACTACCTACATAGAAAGTCGCATTTACTTTTTGTTTATTAATATTTGAATATTAATTATTATATCAAAATATAAAACAAATCCAGGAAAGAAAGTAAAAATACTTCTATGGGTATCTTATAATATTAATATAATAATATTTGTACAAATAATTATACTAATATAATACTATTTTTAATGTTATATATAACGATGCAAAAAGTAAATGTAACATTTAAATGGAATATAAATTACTCACTCCGTTCCCCTCTACGGGTCACATTTACCTTTTGTGTCATTGTACTTAACACTAAAAATATCTTTATGTGTATAATTTTTTGTACAAACATCATTCTATTAGTTTTATAAAATACTAATAAAAGTATTTTTACAATTTTTTTTAATTAAAAATAGTTCAAATTAAAACAATAAATATAATAATTCTTGTCTCCGTTGAGGTAGCAATGTGGCAAAAATTTCATGACTAGTGTGGAAAATTATTAAAAGTTTCTCTAATATTTTATAGCGAAAAAGTTGAGACACCGTGAACAAAATGACTGAGGTCTGATATCATTTCACCATAATTTATTGCAGTTTATTATCATTATTATTTTAAAAAAGGTCGTGAAAATTCTAAATTATTTTTATGTTAAATAAATAAAATCTGGAATTATATTAGCTTTTAAAATACGAAACCTAATAAAAGCAATTAGTTAGGCCGATTGAGTCAAATTAATATAATGTTAATTTGATCTAATGAACAATATTTATAAAGAGAATGACATATATTAATAAAATATAATAAATATTTTAATAGGAAATTATATAATTACATATAGTAAATATAATTATAATTTCAGTCTAATATATTCTGATTTTAACACAATAATATAATAAGTAGATTATACAATATATCATAATATATAATCCACAAAGAAAAATATTAATGCAATATATAACATAGAGCATTATATAATTGCATATATAATGATATATGCTATTTGACTTGTGACAATTTGTTAGTTATTTCAAATTAATATACTAATTTAATAATATATTATTTTTATTGTAATAATTTACTAATTATTGCAAATTCGTTTGTTAACTTAATCAAATTACGGTTTTAACTACAGCCCTACTAAAAGAGATCTCGAAATAATAAATTATTTTTATAATTTCAAAAAACTCCGAAGCAAATTTATAACCTAATTTAAAATATTATTTAAATATTATATTAAAATACTTAAATCAAAAGAAATCAAATCTGAATACAAACACAACAAACCCCTCACTAAATTTCATTTGTTCATTTTAAGATATTAAAAATTTTATTAAAAAAAAATCATTATTGTTTTATTCAAAGAATTAAAAATTGAAAATGAATTGTTTATACAACCATGTCACGATTTTCAAAATATGATAGCGAAATCGAATAATTGTTTGGTGGAAATTAAATTCGGTAAGGTGTGATGTTTTTAGAGGCAATTTAATTAATAAAACGAAAAGTATAGAAACTGCAAATTCAAAAAAAATTGAATAAACTAATTGCAACTAAAGAATTATAATTGAAGTAATTTGTTTACTTTTTCTATTTCAGTTTATCCTACAGTAATTAGTCATTTCTTCTTCTTCTTTTTTTTTTAAATATAATTATATATTTTAATCATATTTTAAAATTCAAAATTTATAATTTTTATTATTTTAATTAAATCATTTAGTTATCTCTAAAATTATTTTTATTATATCATAATTATTTTTACTAATATAATTTATAATAACTCACTAATTAAATAATACTTAAAACTCTGTATCCAAGGTAAATGAGATAAATTAGCTGAGACAGAGAGAGTAATAATAATGTTGGATTCTGGAAAATGTCAAAACCCACTTTGCATCTATTTTTGGCATATGAATAAGACTGCAAACATGTTGTTGGAATTGTCCGTCAGACATCATTTCAGAAAATCTACACAAAGACAATAGGTTGACCGAATTAGTCACTTTGGCTATATTGAAACGTGTCTTATACACATTAGAATGAGACAAACAAACATATCTCGTGAAGATGATACGCAGGAGAAGTCAATGATCTGTCTCTTTCATCCTCCATGACATTAATTGCATTGAACACATTGTCTTAAAGTTGTGCACATACCAGCCTGATCAAACTTGTGTAGAGTGAATATGCTTGGATTTGAATATAGTGATTGAAACAAGTTCGTTTCATACACTTCTTGAGCGAAATTTTATTTCCTCACTTCATAAAGTTAGAAAGTTGTTTCAATGACGATTTGAAGCTGTGAATAAGGAGAAAAATAAGTTGTAACCGGAGAAGACAACCAACATGGAATCAACGCTATTCTTAGTTTGACTGCCGGTTCGTGTTTATAAAACAAATATGAGTTTAGGTAGAGGATAGGTTGGGTCGATTTGTTTGGTGTCTTAAATGGTAACTAAGTGTTTGGTTTAGTGAAATATTCCTAGAATGATTCATCAGATGTAGGTATTTACACCGAACTGGATTAACAAATTGTGTGTGTTGTTTATTTTTGTTTTTCACCACGATAGTTTATATTTCCGTTGCATATAAAATTCAGAAGCGTTAGACATCTTTTGGAATCGATCGAATTTCCAACAAATAATAATAATAATAATAAACCTATTATTAAGCATGGGAAATGTGTTTTTTTTTTTTTTGTATTTTAAAAATCTTTATGTAATTTTTAAAAAATATTAATATTTTATATAAAAATAAATATTTTTTTTATAGATAGCGATAAAATTACATCTAGAAAAATACGCAAAAAGAACATAATTCGAGTTTGTTTATTTTGTAATTTTAGTACTTTGGTGATATATTTACTTATATAGGATACATTAATGGTGTGTTTCTTCAGTCCCAAACCAGGGTTGCTCCTGTATTGCCGACGGAGCTGCAGACAGCTTTATTGTTGTGTTTGTTTATATATAATTTTTTAATTGAAAATACCCAAATAATAATTTATTTAATATTTATAATAATTATAGGATAAAAATATAATACAAATAAATAAAAATATAATATATGTCATTTTGTAAAAAATAATTTTTTTATAATACAATTAAATAAAAATTTAAATATATATATATGTTGGGTATAATATACATTCATAATCAAGTTATACCACTATAAATTTTATCAATTAAATTTAATATACATTTATATTATTATATTCATTACTCATCATCAATGCATATCAAAATTCTCCAAAACCAAACATAAAAGAAACAAAAAAAATTAAATTTATCTTAAAATTCAAATAAAAACCAAATTCAAACACAAAATTTCCTAAACCAGTCTAAAGAAACACACCCTAAATAAAAGAAAGTACTCTTTTCGTTCCATTTACAATGGTTGATATTACCGTAGATAATAAAATTTAGGTAAAATGTAATTAGTATGTAATTAAAAAAATATATTCCTAAAAATAATTCTTTGGGTAAATTATATAACATTCCCCTGTGTTTTTATTAAAAATGCACAAAATACTATGTGTTTTATTCATGGCATGAAACTCCTTATGTTAATATAAAGTTTTCACGAAACACACTCTTTGTCCAAAACTCATGTTTGATTCTAAATAAAGATCTAAATTACGTAAATTTATAAAAATAAAAAATAAAAAATATCTTAAATAATTTTTTTGGATAAAATAAATAAATAAAAATTGATTAATCCTTTATTTTATAGCTTTTTGGAGACAAATTATTATTAAAAATAAATGATTGATCAATTATTCATTTATTTATTTTATTCAAAAAATTTAGTGAGATATTTTACGTTTTTTATTTATATAAAACTTGTGTAGTTTAGGTCTTTATTTCGAACCATACACCAGTTTTGGACAATGAGGGTGTTTCGTACATACTTTATACTAACACTAGGGATTTCACGCAATAAATAAAATACAAAATGTTTTATACATTTTTAATAAAATACAAGAGGGTATTATATAATTTACCCTAATTATTTATATAATAAAAATAAAGGTAAATGGTGAATTTTGTTATCCTCTTGATGTTATACAAAATTCAGGAACATCCTGATTTTTTTTAATCTGTTGGATTATTTTGATTGGCAATCCAACGATTGAGTTTAACTGGGGATATTTTGGTAATTTAAAAAATTAATTAAGGATCTTTAATTAAGAAAAATCAATTAGAAAACATTATCTCAACTACTTCCGATATATTTCGGATTAAGTTAATCCTAAACAAAATTAAAAAACTTTTGCAAATAATTGATTTCCAAAACCGTACATATTCAAAATATAATAATGTATACAGTATCACAAATGTTGTCTCTATAATATTATTATTATGTTTTATCGTGAAATGCCCTCCATATATAATCTACTCAAATGATGTCGAAACAAATGCATTTTGATGCATTATCTTAACTCGCAGATTATTTATTATAACGAGATAAATTTGATTTTATGTTTCCTAAATTACTAGAAATATATCATATTGCACAATTATGATATATTGATCAAATTTAAATGATGGACTATGTAGATATATTTTTCACCATTATGTTTATAAATATGATACTCCCTCCGTTCCAACTCAAAGTACATATTTTATCACTTTCATTTGTCCCACTCCAAAGTTCACTTTACTATTTTAGTAAAAGCAATCATACACCAATACCAAAATACCTTTAACTTTTACCTAAATTACAAGTATACCATTACACATACAATTACTTTTTACGTAAAGTCAAAGGGCAAATATGTCAAAATTTCTTACACACTCCCATTAACTAATAAAATACTATTATTTTTTAATCTATTACAAAATCCCAAAGGGCCACTTTGGACCGGGACGGAGAGAGTATATCAATTCAATAAACATGATAAATACATCAGATATAAATTATATAAGTTGTATATAGGGATGTTGCACGTATAGTTATGATATAGGGTAAATTGCGCCGCTTACACCTGTGTTATCAAATATTTGCATAAAATCTCCTATTTTAGTTAAACCCTTTAAAAATCACTTGTGTTTTAAAATACATGCTCACACCCCATTAAAGCTAACGGCGTTAAATAAAAATAAGGAATGACCGTTCTACCCTTTACAAACTTAAATTTTATTTGTATTTATTTTTTATATTATGAAATTAAAATAAACACGCCCAAATTCGATTCAATCTAGCTTGACCGATTAGGGTTCCGACAGAAATCAACTTCGTTGTGCATTCGATTCCTTGTTCATCCGTCTCTGAACGTATCCATTTCCAGTCTATTCTCCTCGTCCGCTGACGAATAGTTTTGGGTAAGAATCGATTGATACAATCTAACATTTTTATTTTTTTTTTGTTCGCGGGATTTGTTGTTTGTCACGAATGAAAGGGTTTTTTTTTTTTTTCATTTGGATTTGAGAACTTGTAGTCAATAATTTCAATTTAACAATATTTTTAGGCCCCGTATTGGTTATAGATTGTTATAGTTTCAAGAAAGTTGTGCGCAATTTGTTTTTATGTTTGGGACCCGTAAGTTCTTCTTTGGCTATGCGTTGATAATTTTAAAATGATAATTTTGTGCTTTAGTTCCACATGGGTTATGATTGTTATGTTTGCCCATGTGTTATGTCTTTTTTAGTATTGTATTGAAAGTTATTTTTGTATTTATTCGTGAATGTAGGGTTTATTTACTACTTTATTGACATTTTTTCTTTAAAATTGTTATGGATCATGCAGATAGTGGATGACAGATTCTCTCGATGTCTATTTATGGGTGGATGGATATTTAATTTGGTATCCATTTGGTAAGTACATAGAAGGTAGAAAGGTTAAGTTTGAAAACATTGACAATGATATGTTTAATTATTGGACATTAGTTGATATGTATGTCACAACTGGTGGGGTGGGAAGTAATTTAGAATTTTATTATTCTCTTCCGGGTGAAACATTGAAGATTAGCGTGTTGTACATCAGAAGCGATGCTGACATTATCAACCTTTTGCGAATATATGAAAATGAATCGGTAATACAAATTTTTGTGGAGGAATTGAGGGAGCCCTTTACGAGTTTGGATAAATCAGGCAGTGAAATTAGAAAGTCCAAAGAAGTTTTACTTTTGTCTTGGAAAGACACAGGGGTTGTTGACGAGGGTAATGATGTAGGAGGGGGTAATGTAGAGGGAGATGAGATATATCACTCTAATGAAGAGATACAAGAACAAAAAATGACAAATGATGAGGTTAGAGATGCAGTGTAGGAGAATTGGGAACGTGTAACAGTCTTTGGTAACTATAGGGATAATAAGAGGGATATTGATGATGAGGTGGCTGAGGGAGTCTTGGAGGCCGATTAAGGTTGTGGTGGTGATCATTGTGGAGCTGTTGGACTTACAGAGTGTGTTACGGTTTCCGCAGGTGATGTAGTTGGTTCAGAAATAGAGGAAGACTTCGATGAGGGTGTGGCTGCTGGGTTGAGTGGTGGGGGTGCCACTGATGCTGAAAGTGAAAATGCAAGTACTGAATGGGGTGGTATTGACTCGGATGACCCATCTTGGATGTATGATGGCTTTGATGGTCCTTTAGAAGATGATATTTTTGTTGAAAAAACAGACAATGGGCGGGAAAGAATGAAAGAGTTAATGAAGGAATTGCGATTATTAAGAAATGAGAAAAAAAGAGTAATGCAAAAAGAAAAGGTTACCAGGAGTCTGTGAATGATGACATATTAGGACTAAATGATAAATAAGCTGAATGGTACAGTGATGTCGATTCAGAAAGATAGGGTGATTTGGATGCACCTATGGTATCTGATGAAGAAATCGAGGGGCCTCGTTATACCGAATGGGGTGAAAACATGGATATGGGTACAAATGATCTCAACGTAGGGAAGAAATTTCCTAATATGGAGAAACTCAATGAAGCTTTAAAGGACTAAGTTATTAGAAAATGGTGGGACTTGAACTACTTTAAGAAGAAAAATCATGCCGTGGCTGCTATTTGCAAAAAAGGTTGCGGATGGCTTATTCGGGCTTCTTCAATCATGAGAGGGACCATATTTCAAATAAAAACACTAAAGGGCAAGCACACGTGCACATATGATGACAAACTCACAAACTGACTTTCGGTAACTATTTTAAATGTATTTAATAGTTACTTTTTATGTGTTTATAGTGTTTTGATATGATATTTATGGTGTGATTTTTTGTTATGTTCTAACTTTTATAGTATGTTGTGATTTGTGTTTCTGATCTTATTTTTACAGTATGATTTTTAAGGTTATGGTGTTATTTTTGTAGTCTGATCCATAGGGTGCTGATCTTATTTTTATATAATTTCAACTTATTATGTGGTATTAGAATTTTATGTTGTTCCAATTAAATATTATTCATGAGATCTTACTGTTATGATTTTAGTGCATGTTTTTTTTATTTATTCCATCAGGTATCTGGGAAAAAAGATTAAGAATTACGTGAAAGATAATCCTGCAGAGTCTTTAGAATCTTTGCGAAGGAAAATTAGAAGAGATGTTGAAGTCGATGTAAGCACACACAAGGTGTACCGAGCAAAGCAAAATGCAAGAGCTGTTAAAGGGTGATATCAAAGAGCAGTATAATCGACTGTATGACTACAGTGAGACAGTTTGCAAACACAATCCTGGTACTTCAGCTATTCTAAAAGTTGATCGAGAACTATCTCCGCCGGTGCTTCAGATGATGTATTTATGTTTGAAACTACTATCAAATGGATTTCAAGTGGGGTGTAGGCCAATAATTGGAATTGATATTTGTTTTTTAAAAGGACTATACAAGGGTCAACTCTTAACAACGATCGGAATGGATGGGAATAACAATATTTACCCGATTGCTATGGCGTTTGTGGAGGTCGAAAAATTTGACATTTGGGATTGGTTCTTGAACTTGCTATTTCAAGATATTGGAGATGCACATGATGGCCGGTGGTCTTTTTTATCTGATCGACAGAAAGGTCTAATTGAGGCTGTGGCTACGCATGCACCGAATGCCGAACACTATTTCTGTTTGCGATATATGTACAATAACTTCAAAACGAAGTATAAGGGTTTGGAGTTGAAAAGGTTGTTTTGGAAGGCTGCCTCGACTTACAATCTGAACAAGCACAAATGTACAATGAAAGAGATCTTGAAGTGCAATCCAAAGGTGAATGAATCAAAGAATGCCTTTGAGTGGTTGGTTGATATTCCCGAGCATCAGTGGGCGAGAGCTTTTTTTCCTACAAAAACTAAGTGTGATGCATTGGTAAATAACATCAGCGAGTCTTTCAACCATTATATTATGCCTACTCGTGATCTTTCAATAAACGAGATGTTTGAATAGATAAGAAGAAAATGCATAACAAAAATTCAAGTAAAAAAAAGAAGGAATTGAAAAATTTGAGAGTTGTGTATGTCCGAATATTTTGAAAAAAATTGACGTTCAAAGGAAGGAGAGCATAAATTGTTTCCCCAGTTGGGCAGGTGACGAAAAATTCGAGATACTGCACTGGCAAGAAAATCATGTTGTTCATTTGAAATCTAGAAGTTGCACATATGGTATGCTTCAAATGGTTGGATACTCGTGTTGCCATGCAATTTCTGCTCTAGATATGCATAGGCAAGATCCGTTGGAGTTTGTGGATGCCTACTTCAGCAAGTAATTGTATAGCAACCTGTACAATCGCATGATCAACCCTGTATCAGGTATGCATGACTATGGAAAGTCTCCGTTTCGTATTGTGGCTCCCTATATTGTAAAAAAAAAAAAGGTTGGAAAACCCAAAAAAGTGCGCAGGCATGATGCAAATGATATGAAAGATTCAACTAAAACTTTAAAAAAATGCTTAACCCATACATGTGCAATATGCCTTCAACAAAAGCATAATAAAAGGAGCTTTAAGAATGCACCACACCCTAATTCGAGGTTTGCTAAGGTAATAATTTAATTTTAGATTAGTAGTACTAATACATTTACGTACTTTTGGTACTAATTGTGATTCTATGTAGACACAACACGAAAATCCCACCAATATTGGGGCCAATAATCCTATGCAAAGCAACATAGTAGTCGATGAAGTTGTCGGGCTGGTGAGGATTGTAACTTTCGAGGCCAATAATCTAGTCCAGTGCAACTAATCAATTAATTTATCTTTGTAGGGCCAAAGTGAGGATTGTAGAACTCCATTTTCTTCTTCTCGTCGTCATACTGTGGATAGTGAGGAATGAAATAAATAATGTTTTGTTATGTATTAAAGTTTTTTTATAAATATTTTTCTACCAATTACATGAAGTTGAATAACATTTAGGGAGGTCGGGCAAAAAGACAGTGCATCAGTTCACAACATATGACTAATCCTTCCCAGACCATGGAGCAGGTACTAAATAATTCAATGCAGAAATTATTAAGGTTGTGGAGCTTTCTATTGTTACAACGCAATAATAGATAAATGTTTTTGGCAAGTGGAGCGTCAAAATAGCATACCCGATGTTCCTCAAACCACCTGTACCGAAGTTACGGCTGATGTATGTACTAACGTTGAGCAAAGTGTTGTGCAGGTCCATTGTTGATTTCCTACATAAATTTGTCTCATGTAGTTGAGCTTTCTAGGCGAAGTCATCAAAACAGTCACAAAAGTTAAACACCCTGAAATCAACTTCTCAAAGGCGAAGAAAGGGTACCCAACCACAAAGTTCCCAAGCTCCAACAGGTTTGCCACGTCTAAGGGCTTCTAATCGGCGTCTCAGACCATCTCTTGCATTAAGGTTACAAGCCTTGCGGTTCTCTTACAAGCCAAGACAACCTGGTGCAGTAGGATATCAAAAGAAGTAATGTGTGTAGATTTGCTTGATTGCTCATTGTGTCTTGTTTTGTTGTGTCTATCCTTTTGTCGGGTTGATCATGTCATTAGAAACTGATGGGTTGCTGCTATATTGCCGTGGGTTATCCTTTTGTATGTAATATGCATCATTTTGCTAGGGTGCTTTTGGTGGCATTATGTTGTTTAGGGTGTGAAGATGAGTTTAGAGTACTTTCTTTTGAAAGCAAACATGATGTTAAGGGTTGAATTGTTGATGTGATAAGACTTAACGAACAACAACTATAACAATTTTTCTTGGCTTACGAATCAATTAATTTTTATGTTGTGAATTTGTAGTTTAAAGTGTTGTTGTATTGCCATGGGTTTTTGACATATTTTCAGATTATGTTAAATCTTCTATAAGAATATTTAATTGATGTATATATAAAATAATTTATGAGTACAATGTAATTTAGTTTGGATGGTGATGATATATGATTGGAGATATTATTGTTATTATTAATATTATTAAATGTTGCTTTGATTGTGCCGTGTAATAATATTTTGATAATAGGTGAAGGATTTGTCTTTAGCTTTGATTATTATCATGTTGTCTCACAGAGGAAGTAGAGGATATGTCCTAGCTTTCACTCTAAAATTCTTATTTAATGAAAAGTATGATTTGATGAACGAAGATAGTGCAGACAAGATTTGTTAGTGTGCTTGTTATTGGTTTTTGTTATTTTCATGTATGCATAATACTCAGAAGTTCAAAGCAGGAAAAATTTAGACAAAACACTCTTGGTAAATTCAAACAGAACTAATTCAAACAAAGCACAATACTAATCCTTTTACTGCAAAGCAACACATGTAGATGTACTATTAGTCCTTAAATAAATCATCAAATTAAAATGATATCTACTTAGTCATAATTGCAGCAACAATAATAATGCAAAGAAACAACATAATCGTCTACTTAGTCATTGCCACAATTCCAACAACAATAACGCTGATAACCCAAAGATACTTAATCCTATTGATAATTCTTTCAATATGTTTTTTGTTTGACTCTATTGCTTTAGCAATAATCTCCATTTCAGACCTCACCAAGGTAAATAGTACTTCATTGGCATTCGATTCGGGTTTCGAAATTTCTTCATCTTCTTTGTCAAAGCTACCAACCACACATTTGGACCGATCCTTTTCTTGTGCACTCAAGGGATCTAACCAACAAAAAAAGTCACATTGTCTGTTTTTACAATTGCAAAACAACTTACTTTCGGTGTCTTTCGTAGGGCCAACTACTTGAATTGCAACATATTTTTCACATTTACATATTGGATTTTTGTATCACAAATCCGATATTTCACCTATCATACTCCTTTTTCTATTTAACGAAGTCGTCGACATTAGCACCACCTGTACTTCACAACCAAGGTCAACCAATTAATTCAATAAAAGCGATTAACATTTGCGAACAAAAAAAACCCCACATAGAAGGGAGAAATCAACACATGTTCAATTCTAATCTTCGACAACATGAAATTTCGAAAACCATTACCCTTTACAAAACAACATAATTTTTTTTATTTACCCCATCCTTATGATGAATTCGACAAAACACAAACATAAACATGTTGAACATCCAAAACAATATTACTAAACTTTCACACCCAACCAAATCAAAGAACCATTACCAACGTGTTAACTAATATTGTAAAAAACAATTCAAAACCAAACATGTTTTTTTTACCCAGGCTCACAAACAGACCCATCCAGCGCCAACGTACCAATCGAATCCATCAACTCCCAAAATTGCTAAAATTTACTATCCAACGATCTCATATAATGTTCACTAATTTTGAAAATTTATTAAACAATACAAAACAATATTAATAACTTAATTAAATACAAATTCATTAACACCCAAACCACACCCAAACCTAGACGTAAACCCATTGGAAATCGATTACCCAAAATATTCACCCCCAACAAAAGCTCGTAACAGAAAAAATCATTCACAAAAACCATCCAACCTTTAGGCTCCAATAAACAAACACCCAAGACATCAGCACAAAAGAGAAAAACAGAAAAATAAATACAACAAAAATATAAGAAAGAGAGAGAAGTTAGAAAACAATAAAGGAGAAATAGACGTAAGAACGAATTGGTGGGGAAGAACGTGAACAATTCTTACCTATAAGAGAAAGTTCTTACTTGGAAGAGAAATTGCTCGAGTCGATTCACAGACCCAGGAAGTCTTATCTGCGATTGAATAAGAATGTAATGTGTATAGCTTTATCCTAAATTCTATTTTAAACGAGGGCATAAAAGTCCTTTTACATTGAAATTGGAAGTTCTATCACATTATACACGCAAAAGCAGCGCGTGTATCCAATGCTTTGTTAAATCCAGACGGAATGGGGATAATGTGCGTATTATTATATATCATAAAGGTTAATTATGCAAAAAACTAAATATAGGGTATTTCGTGCAAATTTTCTATAACACAGAAGTATGTATTGGAATTTACCCTATGATATACTCCCTCCGTCCACACACAAAGTAAACATTTGCTTTTGGCGTGGTGTTTAAGAAATAATAGTATTTTAATTCTAATGGGTAGTTAAAAGTAGTAAAATGACATTTTTGCCCTTGATTTTTGGTGTAAAAATAATGATGTAATGTAAAATAAGGGTATTTATGGAAAAAGTGAGGTATTTAATGAAATGTTTACTTTTGAAATTGAACGTCCCAAAATAGAAATATGTATATTTTCTAGCTAGACGGAGGGAGTATTTCATTTCATGATTCCTATTTATGATTTATATATTGCATAGTTATGATGTATTTGTCAGATTTAAATGATGGACTATGTTATATATATGTTTCACCATTATATTTATATGTATGACTGAGCGGCAACATCCTCTGAACATGTTCGTTTATTATTGGGGTCAACTTTACTGTTATTTTTGTTTTATTGCGTCAATAGTGAATGTATTATATATTTGATGATCACTTTTTGCCTTTTTGCATTTATTTTCGCACGACAAATATTTGTTTATGCGCGTATATACCATATGACTTGTACGCATTGTTGGAGCTTGAAAAATATGCATTTGTCCAATAATTTTCACCCGGAGAGTCAAATGATATAGACCATTATAAAATATGTTGTTTATTTTTAATGTATATGGTTTACAAAATATAGTACTACATGATGTCGCTCATGCCGAATATTGAGTAACTAAATCACTTACTTTCCTTTTTTTTTGCGTAGTATATGACGATAAATATTCTATATATTTTTTAAACATTTAAATAATAAAAAAAAATAATAGATATGATTTATATGAAAACTGTTTCAAGTCTCCATACTTTTAGGTGGTTGATCCTAAATTTAAGGGTAAATTAGTTTAATTCAATACTTTTAAATTGAGATAAAGTATATTGTTCTTTACCTTATTGGTTTCAAATATAATTTCATAGAGCAATCAATTAAATTATATTAGAAAACTTAAAATTTTTAAGTGGGTACTTATATAAATTCTACGTAACTATAATAAGATTTAAAACCGTCTCAAAAAAATAATATAAACTATTTTTTTTTTAATTTCAGGCTATATATCATTCATATAAATATTGGATTCGACAACTAAGATAAATTTATTATATCTAATTGTACTAATGGAAGTCTGCAAGTCTTCCATTGTTTCAGCCATTGATTAAATATTTCTTGTGTGCAACTATTGATACGTTGAATGACTAATACGATTATGATACATATATATTTAGAAAATGATGTTCAGAAGATAGAGATATGATGTAATAAAAATTCGTCAATATGTTACTTTCGCGATCGATAAAAAAAGTTACCCCACTCTGTAATTTCTAAAACATTATATTCGTCCACAGCACATTGGAACTTACCGGAATGCATATCATTTTGCTTAATCTTGTTCTACGCTCCAACTTCTCCACAATTTATTTTCTTCGATGGATGTCGGTGAAAGAAGATGGAGTTATCTTTTTTTTCTTTTTATGTAAACTGATTCAGATTATGAACACGACCAACATCTATCCATATTTATATTCCCCTGATTTATGCTAGAATAATGTATTAGACTTATTAATTATATGAATCAAATTACATATCTACCCCTACCTGCACTCTTATCTTTTGATTAAAATTTTCATCAAACGATTGTAATGTTTTTAGGATGGTTCTGAATACTGAATTAAGGAGCATACCTAGATTGGTAAATGCATAAAACATTTTCTTTTTATTTATTGTGTGAACCCCCTTCTGTTAATTTAAAATTTGCACAAAACACCCTCTTGTTGTCCAAAACTGATATTTAGTTCTAAATAAAAATCTAAATTACGTAAGTTTTATACAAATAAAATACGTAAAATATTTTTAAGAATTTTTTTAATTAAATAAATAAATAATTGATCAATTATTTATTTTTGTAATTTTTGTAAAAATCAGACAACAATTTGTCTCCTAAAAGTTATAAAATGAAGCATTAATCATTTTATTTATTTATTTATTTTATTCAAAAAATTATTTAAAATGTTTTATCTCTTTTATTTGTATAAAAGTTGAATTATTGAGTTCATATTTACAATAAAATATCAGTTTTAAATGAAAAGAGTGTTTTGTGTAAATTTTATATTATTGCAAGAAGATTTTATGTAATAAATAAAATACGGAATGTTTTATATATTTTTACGAAAACATAATAGATGTTATATAATTTACCCTAAAAATAATTATAAATTAAAATTAATATAATTAAATAACTTAATTAAAATTAAAAAATATAAATTAAAGTAAATAATCATAAATCCAAAAAAAATATTATGTAAATCAGATTAAATAGAACATGTTATATAAATTAAATAATAGAATAAAGTCACAAGTAAATAAAAATATCGTGAGGTGGCAAATCTAACTAAAGTGGCAATGAGAGAAATTTGATTCAATGAATGCAGTACAACTTCTCTTGACAACGACACGACGTCGTAATAGACCCGACCCGTATTAATGAGGTCAATGCGACACTGACTATACTATTATTGCCCCTTTTTTTTAAATTTGTTTTTTGTTATATAATAAATATTATATTTAATAAGTGTAATAGTAAATATATAGTGTGTATTATAGATATGTATCAATGCGTGTGTATATATATATGTGTGGATGCATGATGAATATATATGTATATATATATATGTTATATGCGGAGTAATGAAAGAAGAGAGAGAAATGTGAGGGTGGAAGGAATTTAGGAAGAACTATTTTTTTCTCTTTCATTTCTATAATTCGAGTACATATATATAGATTCTCACGTCCAATAGAAAACATCCACACCTCTCACACATAATCTTGATAAAGGAGTATGTGTATGCTACGTCGCATATATGTGTATATAACACTCCCCCTTGGATGTTTTATACAAAGAATGTGCCTCGTTAAAACCTTACTATGAAAAAACCCTGTGGGAAAAAATCATAGTGAAGGAAAAAAGAGTACATCATTCTTGTATTAATGCGCTCTCCCTGTTCTGGACTTTATTTGAAGTCTTTCATCCGACGCATTCCAATTCCTTGCACCAGTTTGTTGAATACTACAGTCGGTAGCGCTTTCGTAAATAAATCTGCAAAATTTTCAGACGATCGAATTTGTTGCACATCAATTTCACCACTTTTCTGAAGATCGTGAGTGAAAAAGAACTTTGGAGATATGTGCTTTGTCCGATCGCTTTTAATATATCCTCCATTTAATTGAGCTATACAAGCTGCATTATCTTCAAATAATATTGTAGGAGGTAGTTTATCATCGGTAATCAAGCCACAATTTTTCTGAATATGGTGAGTCATGGACCTCAACCAAACGCATTCACGACTGGCTTCGTGAATCGCTAAAACCTCAGCATGGTTTGAAAAAGTAGCTGTTATCGTCTGTTTGGCAGATCTCCAAGAGATCGCAGTTCCACCACAAGTAAACAAATAGCCAGTTTGAGATTTTGCTTTGTGTGGATCAGAAAAAAAACCAGCATCAGCATCAGCATAACCAATTAATTTATTTTAAGATTCACTCGAATAAAATAAACCAAGGTCATGAGTCCCCTGGAGGTAACGAAAAATGTGCTTGATACCATTCCAATGGCGCTTTGTGGGGGATGCGCTAAACCTGGCCAGTAGATTTACTGGAAAAGATATATCTGGCCTGGTACAATATGCGAGGTACATTAATGCCCAATAGCGCTGAGATATGGTACCTCGGGGCCAAGTATTTCTTCATTTTCTTCTCTTGGCCTAAATGGATCTTTATTGGGATCAAGGGATCTGACCACCATTGGTGCACTCAGAGAGTGAGATTTATCCATGTAAAATTGTTTTAATACCTTTTGGGTATATGTGGATTGATGGATAAATATCCCATTATTAACATGGTCCACTTGTAATCCCAGACAATATTTTGTCTTTCCAAAATCTTTGATCTCAAATTCTTTCTTTAGATATTCAACTGCAATTTGGATCTCTTCAGGAGTTCCAATTAAATTGAGATCATCAACATATATAGCAATAATGACAAAATTTGATCCATTGTTCTTTATAAAGACACATGGGCATATTGGATCATTAGTATAACCTTCTTTTATTAAACATTCGCTCAGATGGTTATACCACATTCACCCCGATTGTTTAAGTCCATACAATGATTTTTCCAATTTGATGGAATATGATTCCCTTGGGTTTAATTTGTATGCTTCGGGCATGTTGAATCCCTCAGGAACTTTCATATAAATATCAGCATCCAAGAAGCCATAAAGATATGCAGTAACTACGTCCAAAAGGCGCATATCGAGTTTTTCTCGCACTGCTAGGCTCACAAGGTATCTAAACGTTATTCCATCAACAACTGGAGAGTACGTTTCATCAAAATCTACTCCAGGCCTTTGTGAGAATCCCTGAGCTACAAGACGGGCTTTATATCTCACAATTTCGTTATGCTCATTTCTTTTTCGTACAAACACCCATTTGTATCCAACTGGTTTTATACCATCTGGTGTTTGAACAATTGGTCCGAAGACCTCTCTTTTGTTTAATGAATCAAGCTCTGATTGAATCGCATGCTCCCATTTTGGCCAGTCATTTCTTTGCCGACATTTATGAAAAGATTTTGGCTCTGGATCCTCATTATCTTCCATTATATCAAGTGCTAAACTGTATGCGAAGGCATTATCAATAACTGCCTCTTTACG